CACAGAGGGTTTCTCTGGCCTTCTATCGATAGTTCTTGTGGTCCCATGGGTTTCCAGGGTGCTTGTATGTGCCCTAGAAGTTTCTCACGAAGATCTCCTTTAGGTCCGCCCAACTCTGGATTCTGTTGGGTGGAAGGTGTTCCAACCAGGTTCTTGCCAAATTGACCAAGAACAATGGAAGGTTGTGGATAATGAAGTCATTATTATCCACACCACTGGCTTGGTAGGCAAGCCGATAGTCTTCGAGCCATAGTCCGGGGTTTGTTTCCCCAGAGTACTTCAGGATATTGGTTGGTGGTTGGTACCTTGGCGGGAAGGCAACGTTGAGGATGTGTCGGTCGAAGGCCTGAGGCCCCGGCAGGCCAGGGCTCGGGCTTCGGTCCTCGCCGCTGTCGTAGTGTCTACCACAACGAGGGTGATAGCCACATCTGGCTCCCTCTCTTGGGTCATCATAGGTGCGTCTGCGGGCATTGAGGGTGTTACGCGCGTCACGGTTGTGGCCGAGACGCTAACGCACTGGAACCACGGTGTGCTGCCTACTTCCTTGTGGTTCCTAGTGGACCGATGCATCCCTAACGGGACGCTCCGAGGGCGTGAGCTGGCTAGCGTCGAGCTCATGTCGCCGAGACAACAAGCTTGCGGCCTGCTGCACCGCCGCACGCTTGAGCAGTGTGTGAATCTCATGGTGGGCCCAATGATCCTCGGGTGTTGTGGCTTCTAGAAGGCCGTGGAGAAAGGCCATGGCGGCAGCGATGTTCTGGCTTGCCCGAGCGAAGTGAGGGAGGGCTTCATCATCGGCGATGATCCTTCGGTTCATGTCGTGGGCCATGGCGCGGGCGCGCCCACCATCTCCACAGCGCTCGATCTCTCGATCGAGCTTCATGCATTCCAGCTCGAGCTAGAGTCACGCTTCCTCGATCTCTCGGTGTCGGGCTTTCAGCTGCTCCACCAGCATTTGTGGTGGGACCGCTGTCTCCCTCTCAGCCATGTCATCGAGGCCATTTGTTGGGGTAGATTCCCCTCGTGGACGCTTTCGACGTGCCCCTCAGAGGTACCCATCATGAAGCATTCACGAGAGGGGTGGTGGCTTCCCCTACTAGAATAAGAGCTAGAGGGTGACTCTAGCTCTTCTGCCAGGAGGTCATGGAAAGATTCCGCGACATGTTTGATCATCCCCACGAACTCACCGTTCGTGGGCGGTGAAACCATGCATCGTGCCATAAGGTGGCTAATGGTCACCGCGGCATTGCGGAGACTGAATGGAAGCACTGTCGGGGCACTCCATGTGGGGTGTTCTGGAGAGAGGGGTTCTCCTCTAGTGAGCCACATCATGTCGGTGGCGTCAGAGAAGATGAGGCGGCGCGGGTCCTCCCTGGATGGCCGGGTCCCAGGAAGATGCCGAGCCGGCGCTCAAGCCTCCCGTAGTTGAGGCCGATGGAGGGGGGGAGGTTGGATGGCAGCGTGAGTCAATGCCAACTCTCCTCCCACCGTGACGATGAAGTCCAGGTCACCAAAGCGCACATGTGTGCCCGAGACCAAGCTGATTCCGTGGCTAGCCATCCATGGCCTGATGTTAATGTCAGAACATGCAAAGGCCCCTACCTGGCGTGCCAACTGTCGGTGTTTTGAGTAAACACCAATGAGTAAATTTGTATTATTGCGCATTGGACCCGGATGGTGTGCTAAAAGACATAAGGTTTATACTGGTTCGGACAGAACGTCCCTACATCCAGTTTTGCGGCTGCTGCTTGTGTTATTAGCACTAAAAGGTTAATAGTAGGGGTTACAAACGGGTGAGAGAGGGACAGGTCCTAAGTCTCTGATGGAAAGGTTGAAAGGACGATAAGAGCTTGGTCGCTGCTCAGTCGTGTGTTATGTGATGTGTCGTGTGTTCTCTTGATCGGTCCCCTTAGTGGGGTGCCCTGCCTTCCCTTTTATAGACCAAGGGGAAGCAGAGATTATAGATGGGAGAAAGGAGAAAAACTAGAGGCAAAGAAGGTCCTTCGAATGTGCCGGGTCTTCCTTTTCCTCTGAGCCAGCCTTGCTGACACGGCAGATGGTGCTAGGGATAGCTCCATGCTGGGCGTCTGTCCGTTGATGATGCCACGCTCAGGCTTTGTCAGCAAGTGGTCATGTCCCATCCTACCCCGGCGGGCGGCGCGATGGACCAGGGTGCTAAACCATGACCCTACAAGGAGCAGACGGCACAGTGACCGCATGTCCGTTACTATAGATAATGCGAGTTTCATCCTGGACCGTAGCGGTTGTCGTATGCTTCCATCAGGATCCGCGTCTGAGGGCAAATGGCGGCGCCCACAACACTATAAGATAAATGTCAGCGCCTACAATACTGTTTGGGCTCTGCTATTTAGGCTCTAACAAGCCTGGAAGGGCTTAAAGCGCACGTCCTATCATATCCTGACGGTACTTTTCTACAGGCGTGCAGGGTATGGCCCTTGGTATTATGGTTGACTTGAGTGCCCTGCCTTATCCGCGCGCGTAGTTATGAAGGAGCAGTGCGCAGACGTCGGGCGAGGAGGAGTCATCCCCCGGACGTCGGGCGAGGCGGAGCTAGCCCCTAGACGTCGGGTGAGGCGGAGCCACTCCCTAGACGTCGGGCGAGGCAGAGCCAGCTCCGGACGTCAGGCGAGGCGGAGCCAGCCTCCGAACATCGGGTGAGGCGAAGTCTGCCCTTAGACGTCGGGCGAGGCGGAGCCAGCCCCCGGACGTCGGGTGAGGCGGAGTCTGCCCTTAGACGTCGGGTGAGACAGAACCAGCCCTCGGGGGTCGGGCGAGACAGAGTTTGCCCTCAGACGTCGGGCGAGGCGGAGCCAGCCTCCTAACGTTGGGCGAGACGGAGTCTATCCTCAGACATTGGGCGAGGCGGAGCCGGCCCTCGGGGGTCGGGCGAGACGGAGTCTGCCCTCAGACGTCGAGCGAGGCGGAGCCTGCCCTCAGGGGTTGGGCGAGACGGAGTCTATCCTCAGACGTCGAGCGAGGCAGAGCCAGCCCTCGAGGGTCGGGCGAGACGGAGTCTGCCCTTAGACGTCGGGCGAAGAGGAGCCAGCCCTCGGGAGCCAGCTCGAGGCGGGGCCCATGGTCTCGGTCGACGGATGAGGATTGACCCGGTGAGCGGTGTAGTCGCGCTCTCGATCGCGCGGATAAATCAACGTTGATGGCCATTAGCTCCTCCTCTTCAGGTACCCTACTATTGGTCCCCGGCAACATGCTAATCCAAAACCACTAGGCGAGAGACATCGTGGGTGTACCAACGACACAGGTGCTCTGCCAGTACTTGCTGGTCTGGGGACTACTCCGCGGCGTCGTGCTCGACAACATGCAGGCAGACCGCTTCGTTTGGAAGTGGTCACCAAATGGCAAATACTCCGCCTCTTCTTCTTACCGGGCCTTCTTCAATGGATGCACGTCGCTGCTCGGTGCGACCGAGCTCTAGAAAACCAAGGCACCGCCATGGGTGAAATTCTTCTTCTGGCTCGCTCTCCATCGACATCTCTAGACCGCAGAAGACATGGCCTTCAGGACGATGGTGCATGTGCCCACTGTGAACAAGCGCCGGAGACCGGTGAGCACATGTTTCTCGGTTGTGTGGTCGCACGAACTCTGGTTCTCACTTCTGGCACCGCTGGGGCTATCCCCGCTCTTTCCTAAGGATGTTGAAGACATCGCATCATGGTGGCTCGGACAACGGCAAAGGATCCGCGCGGTCGTCTTTCGACTACTTGATGCTGCTGGTTTGTTAGAGTATATGGAAGGAGAGGAACAACATAACGTTTCAAAGAACGGCGCTGCCATCGCCTGGGCTGTTCCGAATGGTGGTCACAGAGGCAGAGGATTGGGTGACTGTCGGCTTCCGAACGCTCATCGCAGCCTGCCCGCTTTGGTCGCAAAATGCAGTCGCCATGTAATCGATAGAATGTAATCCAGTAGTTAGGTGTTTCGTTAACGTTCGCACTGGCCCCTCGCTATTGTGATCGTGTGCTTGTGTTTTGAATGCTTTATTCCTCTTAATGACAAACGGATGAATGGCTCGATTGCGAAAAAAATCCCGGTCATGTGCTCTTATTAGCCCATCTCGATATCAGGATTTGTATTTGGACAATGTGATGGTCAAATGTGGAATGTAGCTATTTCTTTCCCACATTGGAGACCTTAGTGGTGCATTGGAATCCATGTACAACGGATCTCATCATTTGTCAAAACTTTGATTAAATTAGTTTGTCTTTTATTGCAAAATAATGTTGGTATATTTAATTGTTGATTGAAGAGGAGACAAAGAAAAATGTGAAGCAGACCACTATTGTTTTCTCGAATCACATTATATATGCAAACACTCATATATGTACGCACATTCACCCTAGAACATACACACACTCTACTCTTGTGAGCATGTCGCCTATCACAAAAAGACCAACTCAACATTTTTTTAGTTTTTATGTAATGGTTTTGCATTTAACATAGCATGGGCATGTAACTACGTTGGATGGATTTCTTTGTTGGTTTATTGATCCTTGATAATGATACTATTACTTAAGTATATCATTTATGCATATTCTCTCATTGCAATATACAGCCACTTGTATATATACCTAGTCTGAAAGCACAAAGGCTATTGCTACTCAATCAAGAAAATAAAAGAAAAAGATATTTTTTTTTGAAAACACCACAGAGGCCCTTCTCCCAAAGCCCAACCCAACTGCCTAATAGGTTACAGATAAATGTGGCCCGTCCTCTCTTCGCCAAGTTCACGGCCCACCCACCCTCCTCTTCTGTTTTTAATAAATACATATAAACATATATCTATAAATAATAAAGAAAAAAAAGAAAAAGAGAAAGAAAAGAAACAAGAAGAAACAAGTAGAAGTGTAGAACCAAGCCCTACTAGCGGTGTCCGGTCCGGCGACCCCTATTTCCTCTCGCAGCCTTCTCTTCTCCCCAAACCCTAATCTTCGCTCCTGCCTTTCTCTGGTCGAGCGGCGGCGATGGAGGGGAAGGAGGAAGGTCGGATCTTCGTGGGCGGCCTGTCGTGGCAAACGGACGAGCGCAAGCTTCAGGACGCCTTTGGCCGCTTCGGCAAGGTCGTCGACGCCCAGGTACCCATGCCTCCCCGTCCGTCTCCGTTAGTGCTCTTGCCCGCCCCGGGTAGTTTTTGCGAGATCTATCAGTTTCGAGTTGTCCGCGGTACGATATTGCTGGGTACGATGCTTGGAAGGGCGGTGGGTGAGGTGGAAAGGCGGATCTGCAGATTGCTTTTGCGTTCCGTCCAACGGGGATGTGTGTTTTGTGTAGGAAGGAGGATTGCGATTTCTGCTCATTTTTATGCCTTTCGTTGTTCAGAAAGAGGCGTAACTTGGCGAGAGAATAATTTTCTTCTTTAGTTTGAAGAAGCAAAGTCGAATTCTTTGGCTTCACTAAGAGCGAAATTAAAAATGATGAAACAGGGCTTCTTGTCACGATGATGGGCTAAAAGAAATCAATATCCTGTATAAACTTGCATCCTAGCTTCTCTGAGAGTAAAGAACTAAATAGTCTAGTGTCATTTGTCTTTTATGATTCATGGCTATTTTTTCTATGTTGATAGCTTGCTCTCAGAAATTCATGAATACTCACTGCTCTTGTTTTTGCATCTTTCTTTGCAACTGGGCTCTGTTCTCTCGGCCATTCTTTGTTTGCTGAGGCTGAATGAGCGGCAGATTTCCAGGGCTGGAATGGAAAGCGATACTTGTTGCTTTCCTGAGCTGAATTGCTGATGAGGTTCATTACAGTTTGATGCCTGTGAAATTGGATTGAATTAATGGAGAACAGTCATTGGTCCTACTGTTGCTGGTGTTCTGCTATTTCTTAGTTCAGTTTTGTGGTCTGATGAAAGAGAGAGGATGTTACTATCGATTTTTTTTGGTAGAATTGGATGAGCAACACCTGTCATGCCTCCTTAGTTTTTGATCTGTGGAAATTCTGCTCGGCCAGCACAAGAGTTGTGCACACCTATAGAGAACAACAACAGGGACTATGCTCATGACACAGATTGATAGATGAAGTTTGGTGGTTCATTGCCAGATCTGTGCACGTTACTGCTGTAGTTTGTTGAACTGATTTGATTGGCTCATAAGATGCAACAGAAACATCAATTTGCTATAAGTGTTTGGTTGTGTTCACTGCCCTGGCCATGTTTTCAGTCGGGTTATTGGCATCCTTGCTGCAGATAGAATCATGACTGCAGTTTACTTGTTTTGTTTTTATTGATATGACTTGCCTGCATAGCTCCTCATCCTACCTTTGTCAGCATTTAGCGAACTGGCGACATGTTGATCTTTTTTCGCGTCCTGTGTTTTGTTAGAACTAGATAGAGCCTGCAATGATATATGGCCGACCCTCTTTACTGCTTATTTCCTAACAGCTCCAGCAAAATTTGGTTTTTGCACTTTTTTCTATTCAAAACTCAAGCAACTTCTTTTCTCAAGGACTCCTTTTTGAAGCCGTTTCTTGTGCAATACATTGTTTTATTAGTACCACTGGTGCTTGAGCCTTGAGGACAGTAAATGCTTCTGCCTTCCGGTGATGGAAGCTGAATTTTGTTTAGGGTTAAGATTTGCATATTGGTACATTATACAGTATTCAGTGATCATTTATGGACACTAGAAGGACAAATGCTGGAGCAGAAAGTTGATGCTAGCCTCACCAGTGTGGACCCTTTGATCCATTGTCTGTGTGATATTGCTTTCAGCCACCTCCATGCGTTGCATTGCAGTTTTGGGAAGACAAACTGGGTTCACCTAGGAGATCAGCTAACCAGCAGCTCAGACTTCCACTGTTGTTACCATGGAAATGCTAGTCGTTCGCCTTTAGGTTTGTGCATTGGTTTAGATGATCTGGTATGCAAACTAGATAATATGGCAGTGGGCATATCTGCTACATTGTCCTGGCACCAGAATATGCTGAAACTTTTGAGAAGTTAGTTCATGTCGGTAACGGTAAATTTGGTTCCTGATTGGAAATAGTCCAGTTCTCCAAAACATGGTTCCCAGAGGTTCTATAGCTTTGCTCCTTGTCCGTGTTAATGAGCTTTGCTGTCTTGGGAATAGACTATTTCATGAAGGTAGTTACAGCTAGATGCATCTGTGTCAGGATTATGATTTGTTCTTGAATTACCGAGATCCAGGAATAACCTAACCTCAGTGCTTCTCTTATGAGGTAATGTCCTTTTGTTGTCTGTCAATTATCTCTAAATTTGTAAGAAGAAGTGATTCTGCTTAGTGTAATCTGTTTCGCGTAGTGGATACCATTAATTGATATGGTGTGTTTCAATGGTTCTCTCATGTACCACTGTGCCTTAAGATACCAGTGTTACAAGTGGCAACTTTTTGAGTATTACTATGCTTTGTATCAAATAATGTAAAGATACAATGCATTTTTTAATATAATAGTATCAAATAATGATTGCACAACCTTTTTTTTTGTAATGAATGGCGATTGTTTTGCTGAAATTAAATAATTTCTCGACCCTTGGTTTATTTCAAAGTTCAAGTACTTGGATGGTGCAAATACTTGTTTGTTTGAGGTTGTGTAATATTCTAACAATTGTTTCTAGGCCATTTGTTACTGACATTTATATTCTTATCACTTAGCTTGGTAACTGTTTATTTTCTTCATATTATTTATGCTCATTAGTGTTTCTTCTTGTAGATCATGCTGGAGAGACACACTAACCGCCACAGGGGCTTTGGCTTCGTGACATTTGAAGATCGGAGGGCAGTTGACAGCGCTATCAAAGAGATGCATGGCGAAGAGTTAGATGGTCGGACCATCTCAGTGAACAAGGCTGAGCCTAAGATGAATACAGATGACACAAGGTATGACAGTGGTGGTGGACGAGGAGAGTATCGTGGTGGTAGAGGTGATGGTCCACCCCCTGGCAATTGCTTTGAGTGTGGTCGTCCTGGTCATTGGGTCCGTGACTGCCCTAGTGCTGCTGGTGGCCGTTCTGGTAGATTCTCGTCCAAGTTCAGTGGTGGCAGTGGCGGTGGCAGGGGAGACCGCTTTTCTGGATCAGACAGGTTTGGTGATCGTTACATGGATGATCGTTATGATGGTGGTCGTTATGGGTACCGTGATCAAGTTGATGCAAGGGACAGGTATGCTGGGGGCCGAGACCGTTATGCCAATGATCGCTACCCACCTGGTGGCGATCACTTTGGTGGAGACAGGTATGGAGGTGGCCCGGATCGTTACGCGCCAAGTAGTTATGGTAGGGAGCGAGAAAGAAGCTACGAGAGAGATGGAGTTCGTGGTGGCGGCGGCGGCGGCGGCTATGATAGGAGTGGCCCAAGGGGTGGTGGTGGCTATGACAGGGATGGCGCTAGAGGTGGCGGGGGTGGTGGCTATGACAGGGATGGCCCTAGAGGTGGCGGGGGTGGTGGCTATGACAGGGATGGTCCACGTGGTGGTGTCGCTGATCGTTATGGCGGCGGAGGACCTGCACGCTATGATGGAGGAAGTTACAGGGATAGGCCTGGGCCATATGATCGCCCTGGCAGGGGAGAGGACGTTTTGATGATCGCTACTGATGAACTGCCTGTAGACTCAAGCTCCTTGTCTTGTAGTTTAATGTTTTCAGTTTTACATAGCTGAATGCTTAATGGGCTATGGAAGATGCTTAATTTATCCCTCTTTGGCACTTTAATGTCTGCTCTGTATTTCAACCAGTACTTGGGCATAATAGGTGTTGCCTTCTTGATAAGTTTATCCAGCTGACTGTTTGCATGAGATGAGTCATGCTCTGGGCTACTTACCCTGCCTGTTGGATGTTGCAGTTGTGCGTGTCGTGCGACCTGCAGTTGTAGTGGAATAGGAGGTTCTCAGTGATCGTTTGTCATTGTTGATCTGAATATCTGGTATGCATGGACTATGTTTTCAGTGATTGCCTGTCAGCGTTGGTCTGAACAGCAGCTGGTGAGCATAGATATGTTCAGTGACGATGCTTGTCATTGCTGTTGGTTGGTCTGGATATCTGGGTTTGCAAGGATATATGTTTGCAAACTTGCAGTGCTGAGATGCAAGGGCTTAACAGAACTGTGGCCAAAAGTACCTTATGCTAGAAATAGCCGGCAACCATGTTAATCTTGCTGTTAGTTTTTGTCGGCGGTCTTGAAAATGCCCTCCAGAAAAGCACCGAGTCAGATCACGTTGGGTGGGGTCTTCTATTAGCAGAAGGAGAGCGATGGCTCTTCGCCTCGCTGAAAAGCCATGGCTGCTGAAAATATTGTTCCGCTGAAAAGCTATGTTTGAAAATATTATTTGTTAATTTGTTGTAGCGAAAAACACTATTCGTTCGCTGAAATAGTATGGCTCATAAGATAAGTGAATAGGACAAATGTTTTTGACTTTCTGTATCTGACTTTGTGTATAGCAAGCCAATTTTATTTTGTTTTCATATGATGGTTTGCCATTGTTGGCCTGTGCTACAAATTACAGAGTTTGAGAATTGACTTCGGTTTTTTTTTTTGTTAATCTTGGCATTTACGTTGCTTGAGTTCAGCAAATACTGTATCTGTTTTTTCTGTTTCATCTTAACGAGGAAAAGTACAGGAAACACTGATAAATATGGGAAGCGCCTGTCAATAGGCCTGTTCGCTTGAATTTATCAACCAGCTTATCAGCTAGAATCTACAATATTTTTCTCTCACAACAAAACAGCTTCAGCCGGTTTTAATACCAGCCGAACAGACTCATGTCTCCACGACTCTACCGTCCAACGTGACTTAGCACCCTGTTTAGTTTCCACCTAAAACTTTACACCCTATCACATCGAATGTTTGACACATGCGTAGAGTATTAAATATATATTAAAAAATAACTAATTATACAGTTTGTGACTAATTTGCAAGACGAATTTTTTAAACCTAATTAGTTTATAATTTGACAATAAAGTATTACAGTAATACATGTGCTAATGATGAATTAATTAGATTTAATAAATTCATCTTGTGGTTTACTGACGGATTCTGTAATTTATTTTTTTATTAGTATCCGAACAGTCAAACAACATCTAAACAACATCTCCATGTAACATCTGATATGACTCCTCGAAACTTTACCGATTTAAACAGGGCCTTGTTATCCAAAAGTTCCCCGTCTCTATCGTCCTGCGCCTTTCCAATTAGGCCCGTCAAGAAAAATCACGATCTGTCAATCTCGGTCCCGTGATATACTCCAGTCCACCTCCTGTTTTAACTTTTAGCGTTAACACGTAATAATCCATGGACGCCGGGTAACGCTAAATTAATGGCTATCGCTATCGGCGTCAAACGGCACGTTACTCAAGCTACTCTCCCCACCCCCTCCCCCCCACACACAAGTTATAAGATACATGCAAGTCAAGCTTTTTTACTTTAATTAGGTTTATAAAAATACGTATAATATTTTTATCTTCAAATAAATTTATTATAAAAGTACATTCAATGATCTATCTAATGATACTAATTATGTATTATAAATATTAATATTTTTATATATAATTAGTCAAAATAAAAAAAACGACTTTTCGAGAAGCGAAAATAACTTCTAATTTAGGACACAGGGAGTATGTTCTAATGGAGCACTCTCAAGTGATAACTTTGGTCTTAACTCTTTATATGTCGACAATGTGTCGATAGCATGAAACACACTTTTTTTTTCAACTTTCGGTAGCATGAACTTTTGCTGAACAACTAATTTATATACCTATAATATGCAAACATATGTATTAGTTGCCCTTCAACAAGTGGTGCAGTAGCAGAGAGTATATGACTTGTTCGCTTGGCTGATAAGTCATGACTAAAAGTAGAGATAATTTTTTGTGAGCTATTAAAAAAAGATCGTAATCTCCTGTAAGCCACTGGAAAAGTGCAGCGGTCTTTAGCGTCACTGCTTTAACTTTTTTTTTGCCCTCCATGCCACTGCCGTTAGATTAGACTCTAACGGTGTCAAACTGCATGTGTGAAAAGTCAAAAATACCCTTAAGTCTAAATGTCATTAATTTTTTTTGAGCATCTTAACGACTTCAAATGAAAAAACTCAAAACTAGAAAGTTGTAGATCCCATCGAGATCTATAATTTTAATATAAAAATTATCTTCTTTTAATACCGCAAAAAATATGATTTTTCTAAGATATATTAATCAAATCAAATCAAATCATATCTTTTTTTGCGGAATTAAATGAAGATAATTTTTATATGAAAATTATAGATCTCGACGAGATCTACAACTTTCTAATTTTGAGTTTTTTCATTTGAAGTCGTTAAGATGCTAAAAAAATAATAACATATTTAGATTTAAGGATATTTTCGACTTTTCACACCTGCAGTTTGACATCGTTAGAGCTCAATCTGACGGCAATGATATGGAAGGGAAAAAAGTTAGAGCAGTGGCGCTGAAGACCATTGAACTTTTCCAGTGGCTCACAGAGAATTACGATATTTTTTAATGGCTCATAAGAATTACGTCCTAAAAGTATTATTTGACTGATTTGTTGTGAGAAAAAAATATTATTTATCTGATGAAAAATATGGCTTATAAGTAAGAGGAACAGGACGATAAAGCGATAACTTTGTCTCATTCGTCCTAATCCGGACATTGAAATGGAAAACCGTTCAAATAACTCAAAAATAAAAAGTAACGCCTACCATAAATACAAAAATAAAAAAAAATACAAAAATGGATCAGAAAATCCCCATTCCTCCTCCTCAGCCTTCCCCTTCTTCCTCCCCATTGATCCCCTTCCCCACCTCCACTCGTCTCCCAAATCGCCAGCGGAGAGCCATGCCGCCTCCTCCCCTGCCCTCGCCGCCCCTGACCGGCTGACCCCACCTCCACACTGTTCTTTCCCTTCCACCTGGGCCCCCACAGCGTTCCCCTTCCCGTCACCACCAAATCCCCAAATCCCGGAGGGACGAGCGAGGAGGGAATTCGTCGCCTGATCGATCGGCCGATCCACCGCCGCCGGCCTCCCAATCCGCCGCTGCCGCCGCCATGTTCAACAAGATCATCAAGAGGGGGAACCGCAAGGGTGCGCGCGGGGACAGCGCGGAGCCCGCCGCGCGCCCCGCAGCGCCCTCGTCGTCCTCCGGGAGTGGCGGCGGCGGCGGCGCGGGGGGAGCCGCGCCCGTCACCGTCAACCATGCCTCCCGGGCCACAGCGCCTTCGCCGTCCTCGCCCACCTCGCCGCACGTCGCGCCGTCCGCGCTCGCGACCAACCAGGCGGCAGGGGCGGCGTCGCCGCCACTCCTCGAGCCGCTCCCGCTCCTCCGCGACGTCGCCGCCGCAGACCGCCCGGGCCTCCTCCTCCGCAAGCTCCGCCTCGTCGCCGCGGTCTTCGACCTCTCGGATTCGCTCAAGCACCCGCGGGAGAAGGAGGCCAAACGCCAGGCGCTCCTCGAGCTCGTCGATTACGTTCAGGCTCCAGCTCAGGCCGCGGGCGCCAACGCGCAAACGCGCCTCCCGGACCACGTCCAGGAGGCGCTCGTCGCCGCCATCTCTGCCAACATCTTCCGCCCGCTGCCACCCGCGCTGCACGAGTCCGCCGCCGCGATCGACCCCGGCGCTGCGCCCGACGAGGAGGAGGAGCCATACCTCGACCCCTCCTGGCCACACCTCCAGCTCGTCTATGACCTCCTTCTCCGATACGTTGTTTCGCCCGACACCGACACCAAGGTCGCCAAGCGGTATGTGGACCACGCCTTCGTCCTCCGCCTCCTCGACCTCTTTGACTCCGAGGATCCGCGTGAGCGGGAGTACCTCAAGACCGTGCTCCACCGAATCTATGGCAAGTTCATGGTACACCGACCATTCATCCGCAAGGCCATCAACAATGTGTTCTACCGCTTCATCTTTGAGACACAGCGCCACAATGGCATAGGGGAGCTCCTTGAGATCCTTGGAAGCATCATTAATGGCTTTGCCTTGCCAATGAAGGAGGAGCACAAGCTATTCCTTGCCCGTGCTCTCATACCCCTGCACAAGCCTAAATCTGTTGCGATCTACCATCAGCAGCTGTCCTATTGTATTGTTCAGTTCGTTGAGAAGGACTACAAATTAGCAGATACAGTGATTAGGGGTCTGCTCAAGTACTGGCCAGTTACAAATTGCCAGAAGGAGGTGGTGTTTCTGGGGGAGCTTGAAGAAGTGCTCGAGGCAACACAGCCTGCAGAGTTCCAGCGGTGCATGGTGCCACTCTTTAAGCAGATTGGCCGATGCCTTAACAGTTCCCACTTCCAGGTATGTCTTTAATTGATTTTTTGGCTTCTGGTTAAGTATATTGTCATCAGCATGCCTGCATACACTTCTAAGTTTTGTTTTTTGGTCAAATGAGCTCCATATGTTCCGAGATATGCCTTTTTGAGTGGATATGCCTCATTGCAAGTTCCAAATCACTATTTGCATGTTGAGGAAAACAAGGGCGTGTTTGGTTGCTGCGTGATCGTGCCCTGCCCAAAATTTCAGCCGGCCAAATTTTGGTGGCCAAATCGGCCGCCCAGAAATTGGTTGCGCATCGGCGGCAAAATGAACCGCGCTTCAGCCTCGTGAGCTGGGGCAGGCCAAAATATAGTAGGAATCCATACATCAGTTTTCGTGGTCAACAACCAAATTTTGGCATGGCAGCCATCAGCGTTCATCCAAACACGCCCCAAAACTCTTATACAAGGCAGTGTTAATAGGAAACAAGGCAGTGTTAATAGGAAAAAGTGAAACGAGATGCATTGCTTTGTGCAAGATATTTTTGTAACCTAGCATAAAAAGTTCCATTAAGTGTACGCGAATGAGTTTTGAGTCAGTAGGACACCTTTGAGAATTATCATTTTGCACTAGTACTTCTGGTATGGCCTTCATTGATCCCCTTTATAGCTTACTCCTGGAGGTATAGGTTTCGTGCCCTTCTTGGATGCTAGGTTGTTTAGGGATCTACCTCTGATATGGGAAGTAAAAACTTGACCTGCGGGGGTAAGACAGTCCCTGGGCATTTTGCTAAGAAGAAGAACTTCTTGGCTGAACTTTTTTTCAGCGCTGCAGCAGCCAAAACCCACGTTGCTACAGTGTTATGTCTTACGGTGGCGGCAGCTGCAGCATCAGTGAAACAGAACAGGCCCAAAACCCTTGAACCCCTGCCCACCCATACACAGTGGCACCGTGCTCCATGTGTGAACGATCAGATCTGGGAAGGTAGAAACTGCATCTCAGGATAAAGAAATGTTGTCATCATTTTTGCAGTTTCTTTTTGGGGCTCTTGCGTTTGTACCCTTGTTTTGTATCGAAATTGTGATTTTGCCCCTATTTTTTTGACTTTGTGAATTTACCCCTACTGTGCCATTCACGAAGCACCAATTTGCCCCTGCTCCGTCATCCACCCCTAACGGTGTTAAACTTTGTACAAAAGGACATGAATGACCATGCGATTTTGCCCCTGTTTGTTATGCCGAATTGTGATTTTACCCTGATTTGGAATTAGACTTTTTTATTGTATGCTGACAATTGATTAAATTTGGTCAAACATATTTGGCACAACTTGTAATTATTTGAACTCAGATTTAATATTGATAAATATTCAAAATTTTGGGACCAAAAGGTTCATAATGATGACAGATGTAACGCCATAAGAAATATTTCGATATAATCTTTTGTGTGGGACCAAAAATCTTCAATGTATAAGAATGCATGTAGAACATCGGTTAACAAACTGTATAAGTAGATGCATGCACTGATAACCTTAGTACCTTACCACATAGGAATGTCATACAGTACATGTTTTTTTAGCAAAAGTAACCGCCATACAACTATACAAGTTGGTTCATGTAACACTACAAGCACTAAAACTACACCATGTATTTACTAACCAAGCTGGAAAAGAGAATGACATGAATCAGCTGTTGCTGTTGCATCCTTCATAAAGAAAGGAGCCGGGCTGGAACACACTCTCTGGAGCCTCTGGCTGTGCTTGTCCGAGTGGAAAGAAAAATCCAGCGCGTCTGGGCTCTCCTTGGATGGCCGAACCACATGCCGCTGAGGAATGTCCAAGTTCAGGCCGACGACCCCCTTCTGGCGAGGGTGCTTGTACCCTGTGCCCAACCCATTCTGCCTCAGCTCGGCGCCACGACTGAACTGCTCGATGAACGCGCCATACTGCTCCCTGCCGGAGCTGGACCTGACGATGGACTGCGAGAACCTGGTGCGCCGCACCCACGAGTAGTCCTCGTCATCCATCTCCTCAAAACCTCCGGCCAAACGGATCCCTGGTACAGTAGATTAACAACTCGCAGCAAGAACTGAATAAAGGGGACCTAGATGAGGCAGGCGCCAGCAGGACGAGCACTAGCTGACACTAGAGCTCCGCTCAGTCCACTAGGTAGGCGCCGCATTTGATCCCTTCCAGAGGGACAGGAAATCCCCCAAACTTGACTGCTCCAATCCGACGCGCCATCCGCCGATCAGAGCCCCTCAAGGGAAAACTACAACATTGATCTACTCAAAGGAAAATCACAGCATACTACTTCAGTGATCCAATACTCAAAGGAGTTATTTTTCCACTGTCTCCATGCCATGCTATCGTCCACCCACCACATTGATATCCAATATCGTCAGCATGTGTTCCTGCAACCAGTATTCTTTTTGCATCTTTGGCCAATGGAAGGAATGGCTCCTTCTGATCCTTGCCATTTTTCAGAAGTACCAAAGACTTGCGAACAGCCTCACGCCCTAGTAATCGATGTTCCTGAAAGGTCAACATATTGCCTATCATTAGTGACATCAATTTTGAGATGGCTCAAACAGAAAGATACGCAGAAGTTTGAAAGAAACCAGAAGCATGTTACCTTACAGCCAACTATGTCCAGTAGAGATTGGTCTGAAAATGGATGCTCAAACACTCCAGAAATAAATTTAACCCTCAGAATTCGCTCAACAGTGTCATCAATCCGAGACATTGGTATCTCCCCCGTCTCCACCAAGAACACAATATCGTCCAAAAATTTCTCAAACCTGTGAGGTATCATAATCTGTAGATTGCTCAATCTAGGCAAAACGAACAGATGATTGAGGAATGCCTTTCATGTGAACACTCAAATAACCATATACCATGTCCATTCCTGCATTTACTGATTGTGCAATGCAATAGCGATAATCCGACCCTCGAGGCTTTTGTGGCTCACAGATCCTGTCAATGCCCTCCCAATCTGAAATGAGAAAACCCTGAAACAGGAGGTTAGACACGTCAAATTCACAGACCAACCTAAGCTTCAATCATTATACAAAATGATGGCGAGGGCTCGGTACCTTAAAGCCTAACTTGCCCTTATCCACGCTAAATCGGATCGGATCAAATCCGAATCCAAATCAAACAAGGCAAATCGCAGCTGCTCCCGGTCAAAGTGGCAATCATCATGGGCACGACTACGAAGGCAGAAGCCAACAAAGGTTCGGAAGAGCCCGAACCGCAAGCGAGGAACCGAAAAGGATGAGAGAGAGGATATGCATGCACCCACGGGCATGGGAGCACCGGGAGAGGAGGCCGCGAGGCGACGCCAGCGTGACGGGCGCGGAGTCGCGGATGAGTTGATCGTCCGCCCGGTTGCGATGGAGAAGCCTTCCTCACGCGCACGCACGCCTCGTCGCCGTCGTCACCGCAGCAGGCGGCGCGCGTGCGCGATCCGGCGAGATCACGGGCGGTCGCGGAGATCGACGATGCCGCCACGCGCAGATCGCTACCTGCATGAAAAGTTGTACGGATGGGAGGCCCGCCGCCGCTTTGTATATTCGTCCATTATGTGCGGCGACTTCAATGGGGCAAGCAGGAGGCGGCACGGAGCTCGCGTGGGGAGGAGCGGAGGAAGGAGGGAGGAGGCGGCGAGACCAGCCCAGCAGCGCCAGCCGGAGCCGCGCGTCCAGCACCGGAGCCCTGCCCTCCGCCCGCCCCGATGCCGCCTCCCCCCCTGCAGCCCACGGGCCGGGCGCCCAGAGGAAGAAGACCAGCATGCCGGGCGCCGCCGACTCATGGGCGGACGACGCCGCTGGTGAGCCGCGGCAGCGCCTGCGCCGCCGCCGCCGCCCGGCACAGACGCCGACGACACGGCGGGCGGCCAGGCGCTCCTCCTCAAGCGCTTAGAGGGCTGCGCCCAGCACCTTGAGCCGCGACCGGGAGGCAGCCCCGCGCCCTGGAAGCAGCCCCTCCCTACGCCCGAACCTGGAGTCGTGGCCTCCCCTCCCCTTTGGTGCTTCTGCAGCCGCCGCCGCTGGAAAAGCCGCGCCCAAGCCGATGTGAGCGACGACGCCCTATGCGTTTGGGATGAGGAGATAAGATAAGGGGCACTATAGTCATTTGGCCTTTGTTTTTCAGATTTAGAATTTTTTTAATTCATTTAATCCATGTCTATCTGACGGATGTCAGAAGCAGGGGCAAACGGACCGTTCAGTTCAAAATAACAGGGGTAAAAACACAAAGTTGAAAAAGGAAGGGCAAAATCACAATTAGCTTACTGGACAGGGTAAGAACACCATTTTCCCTTTCTTTTTCATCAGTGTCTTCTCCTTTCTGATACAGTGGAACACACCAGGTGATAATTGATTGTTTCCAGCATAATAGCTTTCACGGGATAAATGGCCATTGTTTGATGTTTCTTGGCAAAATAGCTATTGCAACATAGATATATCCGAAGCTGGCACTTGCTCTAATTCCGTAGGGTTGCTCTTTTGTAATTTTGATTCTTTGGTAAATTAGTCGCCAGCATCACTCAAAGGCACCTTTAGATCACAAGAATTTATGGAGTCATTAAATGTTAGCGATATTCATAACAGTTGAGCACATATGTTTGATAAGTTTTTAGTCTTGCAACTTGCAATGTTGAAATATGTTACAGAACTCAGATGCTATGGGATGGAAGAATCTAAGCTGGTTTTAAATAGAAAGGGGTGGCATACAATCTTCCTTTCCCTTTTTGTTTCCTCATTTTATTGGTTTATGTCAGTGTATCCAGCTTTTATTGGCTTCTATTTCCTTTTTGCATAGCTAAGCTACATAATAGCTTTAGTTGGGTATTATCTGCAGCTTTTAGCAGTAGAAGCATGCAAATATTGGATTCAATATGAGATATTTCAGCAGTACAAGCTGCCATTTGCAGCAATCAACTGGAGCATGAAAATGTGTTTGAACTTTGAAATACTTCAAAGATACTGTGCAATTACTTCTTTAAATATTGTACTATGTCCTCAGAGGAGAGATTACTCGCATTCCACACTGCACTGGACCTGTAAACTGCAAATGTACCATCTATAAGTTCTGGAAGAATGTACCATCACTATCTATAAGGAGCCAGATCTATCGGTTCTTGTCTCAGTGATTGCTAGTACAACCTTTGGTGTTAACTATGTCAATTGTCAAATGTTAGCTGATCTGGGAGAAAGTCATGGGAAAGGCTAAAACATGCATAAGATAACACAAGCTATTAGACAAGACTGGTTTCCCAGTGAAAACTGTTTGTTGTGGGCATGTTCAGAGATATCTATGCTAGTGTTTCTAAGATAGTCTTGTCCCTTAACAGCAGTTGATAAATATGTTGTTTCGAGTTGATCTGTTCTGTGGGATCTTACTCATAGGTACCAAATATTTCAGTGGTATTGACAAGGCCGGTTCCCTTATCTAGCAACATGCATCTATTTGTAGTTTTTACTATAGAATATTTCTGTATCTATCACTGAAAATTTTAGAAAATAAGGAGTGTATCCATCTGTTTATCATTCCATTCTTCAATTTACATGGTTTGCAAAATCATAAATAAGGCAACCAAACTGTTTGTTGTTCTATTTTTAGGCACCTAAGTCTAGCGGTAGATAAGTAAGTTCAGTAAGTTAAAATAGCTGGACCACTCGCTGTTGGTAATAATGATTTCGTAGTTTTTCTTTTTTTGGCAAGAAGACTTGCAATTTTTTCTCCAGATTTCATTATTTTGTTTTTTAGTTAATATATATGTGTAGCTAATTTGTCCTTGGGGGCGATATGGCCTCATAATATTGACCCATGTGGCGCAATAATCTTTTTAGTATATATAAACCTAAACCTGTCCTACCGAAACAAAGCGTGCTGTTGTCGATATCTTCCCTGGCTGTAACATTTCTTATATCAGATTGACTCCAGAACTCACTGTACAACAACAACAACAACAACAACATAGCCTTTCAGTCCCAAATAAGTTGGGGTAGGCTAGAGTTGAAACCCACCAAGAACCCCAAGTCACGGATCAGGCACTTCAATAGCTGCTTTCCAAGTATTCCTATTCAAACATAGATCTCTAGGTATATCCTAAGCTTTCAAATCTCTTTTTATTGCCTCCCCCATGTCAATTTCGGTCTTCCTCTACCTCTCCTCATATTATTAGCTTGGCTTAGGACTCCACAATGCACTGGTGCCTCTGGAGGTCTCCTTTGGACATGACCAAACCACCTCAACCGATGTTGGACAAGCTTTTCTTCAATTGGTGCTACCTCTAGGCGATCACGTATATCATCGTTCCAAACTCGGTCCATTCTTGTGTGACCGCAAATCCATCGCAACATACGCATTTTTGCAACACTCAGTTGTTGAACATGTCGAATCTTTGTAGGCCAACATTCTGCTCCATACAACATAGCCGGTCTAATCGCCGTTCTATAGAACTTGCCTTTTAGCTTTTGTGGTACCCTCTTGTCACAGAGAATGCCAGAAGCTTGTCGCCACTTGATCCACCCTGCTTTGATTCTATGGCTAACGTCCGCATCAATATCTCCATCCCTCTGTAGCATCGATCCCAGATACCGAAAGATATCCTTCTTAGGCACTACTTGACCTTCCAAACTCACATCTCCCTCCTCCTGTACAACTCCACCAAAGTCGCATCTCATACTCCAGAACTCACTGTGCCTAATGAAAATCCAATATTACTAACCATGGTTACAAGTGTATGTTCCAACTTTCCTGTACTGGGTCCAACCATTTCTCTCTGCTGCTAACATTCAAGAACATCAGTGCTCTGTGGGTGTCATATGCTGGACAGTGATGTTTACTGCATGCTAATTGACCACTATTTCTTTTAGTTTGATTATTGTTGGAGCTGATTTCTAGCTAAGCACATTGATTTTAGTAAACTGTAGCATGCTGATTTCAATTTCATTATAATGCTTATTTATGCTATTGGATGACTAAATAAATGGTACATTTTTATTCCACACTCAAGCTTTTGAGCTATACTGTTGGCACAAATGATTGAAATTCCATTTCTATGTGTAATATTCTGGTTGGTAAGTGAACTTGCCTAGATGATCCAGTACCAGGACCTTCCTATCAAACAATGGAGTTGCTTCCTTTCTCTGCTTACCATCTCACCATGCATCTCTGCGCCCTGTCTACAATGATGACTCTTTCACCCACTGCATTCCATTCCTGAAATTTGCCCAAGTACAGATTTTTTCTATCCTTATTACCATTTTTTTTTGTGGATATATCTAGGCCTGCTAGGTTATTTCTGCAAATAAATAACATCTCATGTTGGACTTCTTTTAGTTCAGTATATCTTCATAAAGCTAAAGATTCATATTGGACTTGTTTTTAATTCAATTTTCATAAATTCCAGGAAGCGCTATCATTAAGCAGTTTATTTTGGGATTGTCACATTGTTTGACTGTGTGTGTGCAGTACTGCACTCTGCATTTAAATCGCATATTTGGTACCTGTAGTATGTTAAATAATCTTGGCTTGAATCTCTTGACAGTTCTTATATAATATATTCCTGGTCCGTGTCTTCAATTGAAGTGAAATCTTCTAGGGCATACACAACCACCACGGCGCCCACTCATGGATGAGTGGGTAATGTGACCTATTGACCTATTCCTTCTGTTGCTTAACTTTTCCTATCTAGTGCTGCATTTGTCGTTAACCAGCTTGTACAAGTATATGATACACTCAAGCCCCTTACCCATCCCACCACACAGATACCCTCTTCCACAAAAATGGGTGGCACATCTACAATAGTGCATAACCAATGTAACATTTGAAGTAGTGCAAAAATCCACATTTGTACTTGTATCTTTTTTATGGCATTTTGAGCGACAGAAATTTGGTTGGTGCTGTTTTCAATTGCTGGCATTAAATAGATTGAAAAAACTACTCCGTAGATGGTTGATACCATGCTGCTGTACAAATTACTTGGCACTTTGCAGTGGTCCTTCACTAGTTGAGTTGCCATGGGCCTAGGGATCTTGGGGTGTAATTGTGTGTGGTGTCTGGTCGGTGCTTCCACGAACCACGTTGTGCAGGCGCCGTCGGAACGGGAAAGCATGATGCGGGAGGCACCGACTGATGTTGTCCTGCTTAATTGTTCCCTGATACAAGAGTTTGCGTTATATCAATCTAAACAATCGAACTCCTAATCCAGATGGTTTGCCTTGTGTCGGTCAGTTGCCGCGGACGTGCGCATGACCCACGTCCAGCGACGTCGTGCGTCTCACATGCTCGCGTAGTCTTTCGACTATACCTGATGCCGGTCATAACATACCCTTGCCTAACAAAATATGCTTGATGTTGCTACATCTGATTTCTGGAAAGTATTTTACTATCTTATTAAGTTGGTAGTTCCTGCTCTTGTGATACATGATTACTCTGTCTCTGATGTTTTTGCTTGATTATTGATTTTGCTTGTCAGGTTGCTGAACGCGCTTTGTTCTTGTGGAACAACGATCACATTGTAAGCTTGATGGCGCAAAATCGTGGTGTTATATTTCCAATTATATTTGAAGCACTTGAGAGGAATATACAGAGCCACTGGAATCAAGCAGTTCATGGTCTCACTGCAAATGTGCGCAAAATGTTTTTGGACATGGACAGTGAACTATTTGAAGAGTGCCAGCATCAGTACATGGAGAAACAAGCAAAAGCCAAAGAAATGCAGGAGCAACGAGAATCAGCATGGAGACAATTGGAAGCTGTTGTTGCTGCCAAGGCTGCTGGAGATGATATGGTTTTGGTCAACTAGGTAATATAACCTTTCCACTTCATTTATTTGTTAGTGCTTGTGTTCTTACGTTGTTTTTAGTCTTGTAACCTAAAACTGTACTACTCTGTTTATGTCCTCTTGTTCTTGTTTTGTTTTAGCATATCTGTGAGATGCATTGCCACTTTTTGTACTGCTCACCTTTTGTTTTGACTTGGTCATGGCAGTTCACAAAAAGATGGAATATATATGTACCAATGTTTCAATTTATTATGGACATTTGATTTTTAGTAATGTCAATCAAACCAAGCATCCATAAGTATGCAAACATCGATTGAAAGGATGTTTATACTTCCTCAGATGATAGCTGCTCACTTATTTCATGAGCGTCATGTGCGCCTATTGAGACAACAAGGTATGGGTGCTAGTTGCGGTGCTCTTATATCAACATTGTTGACTTGGGACTACCAGATCCTTGTTCCTTGCACCAGTGAAAAAAATGTGGACCGAGTTTGAACACATTGGTGGCAGCGAAGGCCAATTCATGCATAATTTCTATGCCTAGTGAGGTCCTGCTATGGTTCTGAGCCGTTCCTTTATCCAGCCCCTGCTTTTCTGTTGTGCTAATTTATGAATAATTGGACTTGTATTAATCCTTCATTGTTTGCCCTAGTTCCGTACCCATAATTGGGAAAATCCAAGTAGAGAAAATGACTGAGCTAGAATGTAAGCTTTTATTTATTTATTTATTTTATTTCTTTTCTCCTTGGGAGTTATTTCAGTTCATGTTGTTGTATGGACGTAACAGCACAAATTCAGATAAAAGCGCTTTTAACCTAGTGTCTGGCATGATAGCAATACAATGGATCTTCTGTAGGAACTGTGGTTGTTTTCATTTAATTTGTCGGTAAATGGCAGGGTGCTCGATGCAATTTCCAAGTTTAGGCCTCATATTTGACTTGTGAGTTTCCTGGTTACGATAACTGCGTGAGCCATTGGTTCATGCATGGTGGCATGCCTGTGACATTCATTTTTTTTATGCCCGCAGCATTAGTGGTTAAAATATCTTGACTTAGCGAATGAACAGTGTTTTACTCTTACAATAAATCAGTAAAAGCTAAATTTCAGCGAAACAAACAGGGCCCAATCATATCACGCCATCTTGGCTGCCTTTTGATGTTTGGCATTTGTCACAACAGTTTGCAATCTCTGAGACTTGGCACTTGGCACTTGGCACTCGTGACTCCTGAGAGAAACAAGTCGATGTGACTGTAGTCACGTTGTCCAAGACGGTCTCAACAAGCAAACTATATGGACATCCAAATTTAAAATAGATAGCAAGAGATCTAAAATCAGGACACTCAAATTCGAAATAGATAGTAAGAGATCTAAAATTAGCCTCTAACAGAGTAACTATACGGGAGATCTTATTTTAGGTTGTTTGAGAGGCACAATCTAAATATGGGCATCATTTCTCCTTAAAACTTATTTGTAGAAATGATTATCTTTTGGGTCTTGTTGTTAGAGAAGATGTTGAATAAGTATTAAATTATTTGTCTATAATGCTACCCAAAAAACGAATTGATCTTGTATTTTAGATGTCGTCGTTTAAGATAGCCTGACATCAGGCAAACCAGACACTCACGTGAAAGCTTTTCGGTCGGCAGTGAAATATCGGAGTACTCGTTAGACATCGTGCTCACGTGCATGGCAGTGTCTCCCTGCCGAAAAAGAACGGTGGAGCCATGCTCATCCCGTTTTTCTATGAAACAGTCGGCAAGATTTTATACTGGATGGATGTGGACCACGCGTTATCGTCTTGTAAGTGCCTTCCAAAACGAAATACAACTATCTCTTCTCTACAACTAAAATATTCATAAGAGAATTGTTGATAGGCGTGCGAAAAATCAGCTCCCGTCTGTGCTTGCCCGGCGCACCTTCGCTAGCTCGCTCCTGCAGTGGACCCCGTGTCGTGCGAGCCATCATCGAGAGCTTCGCCCGTCATTCAATCACCGCAGCACCGGAGGAAAAGCAAATCACCTGCGCCTGCCCTTCCTGCGCTCGCTCACGTAGCCGCCTCGCAACAGCACGGTGCGGTGGAGCCCCTCGATCCATCTCCCCACCGGGCGAGTTTTTTTTCTCACCCATGCGGTTTTCTCCACCTTGCGTGGCTGCAGTCGGCGGCGGGCGCGCGTGTGGCGGCTGGGGATCTGCATGTGTGCGATGGTGCTAGACGAGGAGGGTGACAAGAGGCTCTTGGTCTGTGGCGGTGTGACCGCGGCCAACACCGGGACGCTGCTCCTGTGTAAGGCAACCATCGCGGTCGCCGCATCATTGGCGTCGACGTTTGCAAGCGTGGGGGCGGGACTTCTGGTGCTGGATGCCTCCACCGCCCGTCGTTTTTCTCACTCCCCGAATCCCTGATCCGTCTGTGTCGAATACCGAGGCACCCGTCCGCCGCCCTACGCCGACGCCGCCGGGACCCGGAGGCAAGTAGCCACGCTGGTCCGGCATGGCCGCCCGACGCCGCCAGGCTTACCAAGACAAAACTTTCTCCCACACAGATCTACGATTTGTTTTAATGTTTGCACTGATGAGGTGATTGTGGATGTACTGATGTTGTAGGATTGCAGATGAAAGGATTATTGAAATACTTTCTCCCGCATAGATCTGCGATTTGTTTTAATGTTTGTACTGATGAGGTGATTGTGGATGGACTGATGTTGTAGGATTGCAGATGAAAGGATTATTGAAATTATTTCTGTGAACTTGTTGTGGATTCAACTGAACCCACATGCTACACGCCAAGTCCGCCCCTGATCTGGGAGCTGGACTTTATGTATGATGGGAGGTGAAATTCTTCGAAAAACCGTTCTTTTGATTTGTGGGCTCGTGAATGGAATCCAGTGGCGGTGATAAGCCCACTGCAACAAATGCTACCAAGTCTGTGTTGGATAAGGACCACTCGAGCGTTCTGTTACTTCTGCTAGAATCACAGTGATTAGGCAGCCTCGTGGTGTCTCGAGAATATCAGCACTGAGAGTTGGAGTGGAGTCTGAGCCCATCGGCTCATGGTTGGCTCGATCGAACCAAGCAAGCTGGACTTCTGGTGCTGGACTAATCTATAAAAAGCCTTCGTTGCCACCTCTAAACTTCTGGTGCTCCAGCTCCCTAGACTTCATGCGTGATCCCGTCCAAGAGGCGTTGCTGGCATCGCTTTCCAAGCACAGGTGACATATTCATTTGTTTTTTTTGAGTAAAATGCATCGTGGGCCCTTGAACTTGTCTTGGGGTGCCATTTAGGTCTACAAACTCTCAAATCGTACTTTTGGCACCCTAATGTTGTTTAAGTATGTCACTTAGGTCCATAACTCATCGGAAGCAAGGTTTTGGCCGACGTGGCGTGGACAGCGTGGCGCTGACTGTGTCCAAGCGCACGTGAGCCGCGCGTGAGCCTAGCTTGGGGCGTGCAAATAAGCAGAGAGGCCGGGGAGGCCACCCAGTTCTTTTTATATGCAGTTCCCATTATTTCACCTCTTCGAGTCCGCCGTCACGGACACACAAACTCGTGGGGACCGCGTGGGGCTAGTGGAGGCAATCGTCGACGAGTTAGGAGGCCAACATGGTGGAGGAGTGACACCAAAGCCCGGTGGTGTGTGGATTCCTGCGGTGGTCACGGTGAATCTGCACGATGGCGGTGTTGCGGCCGAAAGGGCAAGGCCGACCTGTGTATGGTGAGTGAATCCCCTTGAGGTCATTTCGTGGTAATCTTGGTCTTCGCATTGAATGTAGTTAGATGGTGTTGTGAATCGGAATGGCAAATGTTTACCATCTTTTATGATTTTGGTTCGTCTAGGGTTTGGGATTGAACTGTTATTTCTCCCAATAATGTTAGATGGCTTGGTTTATATGAATCTTCCCTAATTTGTTAGCAATCTTTCCAATTTTAGGAGCTGATAGTGGTGAGTTCACGGTTGAGATGCATCATGGAGGGTTTTTTACTAGAACAAGAGTTAATCGGGCCTATGTTGGTGGGAAAGTTCACTGCTTTGATCATTGTGAGGCAGACACTTGGTCTCCAGTGTGGTTTAATGAGTTGTTGTTCATGCTTCACTACCCGAAGAACCTAAATTTGAAGATGTACTGGCTTTTACCTGGGAAAGACATTTCAGATGCCATTAGGTTGATTTTTAGTGACTCAGATACCTTGGTGATGGCCTCTCTGGTAGGTAGAGTGAGGACATTTGTTCTGTATGTTGATCATGATGACTCTCTAGCTGGCTTGGATTGGGATGACATTGTGGCAAACCCAATAAGATCAATGCCCAAGGTTATGAGCCCCTGTAGAGTGGGAGTGCAGAACAGGAACATGAACAATATTCCTGATGATGTGGATGCAACTTATGAAGATGATGTGCAGTATAGTTCTAGTGAAGATGACTCGGATTTTGAAGATAGTGATTATGATCTGGCTAATGAAGATGCTGATCTATTCATGGATAACGTTGATGACCAAGTGGTTGATCAAGGAGTTGCCAAGGGAAAGAAGGTACCCAAGGGAAAGAGAGCTCAAGTTGTGGTGGGCAGAGGTGATGAGGATTTCTCAACTGATGATGAAGGGTTAATGGTTCCAAACTCTGATGCTGAAAACAATGTCACATTCAATTTCAAGTCATTCAAGCATGAAGACTTGGTCAATCTAGTGTTCAAAGTAGGAATGATCTTTGAGTATGTAGAGTTGCTAAGGAAGGCTATTACAGAATATAGTTTGAAGCACAGGGTGGATATTAAGATGCCAAGGAATGAGAAGAAGAGGCTGCGAGCCATATGTGAGAAAGGATGTCCTCGTAATTTGTATGCTTTAGATGATAGGAGGGCTCATGGAATGATGATAAAGACTTTTTGTGGTGAGCACAACTGCCACAAGAAGTGGGTATTAAAGAGGTGCACATCCAATTGGCTTGCTGATAAGTACTTGGAATCTTTCAGAGCTGATAAGAAGATGACACTAGGGAATTTTACTAGAATAGTGCAAAAAAAGT